GCTAATACGACACGCGCCTGAGTGGCAGCTGCAGCTTCCTGCCCGTTCACCACAGACAAGACAAATGGTAAGAGAAACGGAGAGCATGCCAAAACCTGAATGCAGTAAGGAAAAGCACCAGAAAAGAGGTGAATGCCTCTTTTAGCATGCTACTGCTGTGGAAATGACAGTTGCTCGCACACGCAGTAGTAGGCATACACTGAAGCAGCCAACCCCCCTTGGTGTCCAAAAGATGCTACGCGGCCTATATGGCCTCTGAAAGCGTTAAGATAAAAAATCAAAGGATCTGTGTCCAACAATGGTGCAGAATAAAGAAAACACTGGTAATCTCACTACTCCGCTGCTCCCCACACGCGGAGACCGCTGTGGGGCGTTCGCAAAGAGGAGAAACACTTTTGGGGCTGCAGCTGCTGCCTTCTTCATAAAAACCTTTCACCCAAAAAGTTTTCCCTCTTTTCAGTCAAAAATACACATTTTTCTTTCCTTCGAACCTATATCGTTCGCTGTGCTGGTATACAGGTCGAGTAGCTCAGGTGCGATGAATGCACCGTGGCCATTGTTTACTGGCTCTATATCGTGAATACAGTTCAAGGGCTAGCGTACATCCGTCCAATTGCACTTTTCTAGGACACAAATCCACGGATTTGCTTAAACACGAACTGCATGCTAACAGGCTTGCCAGGTGTCGCTCCGAGGAGAGGGACGCTCTAATCGTACGGATGCTGTATAACTTTTTAACGAGACACCGGCGGGTGAACTAAGTTGTCATAACTTGCTTATGGTGCTATGAAAAAGAATTTAGCGCCGCAAAGTGCTCACCACATAGTTAAGATGCCGTGGGTCTGGCTGAGAGCACTGACGCCCGGGGACTTCTTGGGTGTACTTTCAAAAATAAGATGACCCTGCACCGTACGATCAGGTGCGAGGTGGGTTTCCCTCATCCGTGGAGGAGCTGGTTAGCAGCATGGCAAATTTGGACGTCGTGTTGTAGACCATCGTGCGCAATACAGTTCCACCATCAATTGTCAGGCGAACTGCGTGTAAAACCTACTAGATAGCTCATGGAAAGGCGCCGTCAACTATAAGTTCTGCCGCCAAAATAGTGTCAGTACGGATGCGCTATAGCGTAATCCGTATGTGAGAGGCTTCGCAACGAGCTTAAACGGCGTTGGATGCATTCTAAGTCCTAAGTAGGTGGGAAGGGCGGAATTGACGTACGCAGCAGGAGTTGAAACCACTTCTGAAGCCTGGGCCTGTCTTTGCTTCGGAATTACAAGCGTTGGTTCGCCGATATATTCCAACGAGCGAAAGCAGATGTGCCAAGAGCGCATCAACTGCTAATGCGGGACATATGCAGGCTGCGGAAAGGAGCAGACCTTTGTGTCCTCTTGGTATGTGTTCGTTAAACACGGGAACGTGAAGAGAGTTATAAAAAGGCTCCCGAAACGCATTCGCTTTAGAAGTCTATATCCGGCAATGACTCATGGGCGGTGCTCGTGGCTTTCTGGTTTCACAAGTCTTCACTAGCCATTGGCAGAGCTTCCCAGAAAGCATTTTTGCATCATGTTCTTTCGCGGCAAGACTGCGACTCGAAGGCCCACCTTTCGGTTGAAGCATAATTCAAATTGCACATATAGCAGTACGTCAAACAGGCTGCATATATGCTGGGGAGCTGAGGTGTGGTATCTTGGCTCAAAATCCCTGTTTTCCTGAACGCTGACAACAGGCGAGCTGGAAATGATCAAGTCAGTATACTCACGATTCCAAGGGGCGAAATTACTCGTAGACGGGACTGCCCCGCTCATAGCGTCGTTCCAGAGAGGGAGAGCGCTGTCGGTGAGAAGAAGGACAGCCTGATATAGCTGAGGTGCTCCGCGTCTGCTGTTCCTTCTCTCTGCGTCGGCACAGGCACACTAGGGAATAGGCTGACGATGGGAGGCTGGCAAATCTTCAAACAGGGACGCATGCGAGAACAGAGACAATGCCAACGACAGGGAATGAAGAAGCCGCCCAGGTGCAACGAGGAACGACTGTGAGCGGTAAAGCGAAAGGGGCAGCAGGCGCTTACCGAAAAGTACGCTGAAAACCTTCAGCTGCTTGCAGCTCTTCTGGAGTTGGCGGAATGTACACTCCCTGAATAGGAACACGATAAAGCACAACAGAAAAGTTGGCATTTTGCAGCTTACCTGTCCGTTGCTCGCGCGTAAGATAAACGCTAGCAAGTGCATCGCATGCTTTGTGCATATACACAGAATTGCAGAACTACAAATTGCACCTGAATGATGCTTCTTCGCGAACTACACTACCTTTGAAGTCCTTCCAAATAAAGCTAGCGGTGTCTAGCTACAACAGCCCGACAAGTCACGTTGTGAGCGCCCTTGCTTCTCACGTACCCCGGCCCTTGACTTCCACTGCCCTAACCGCGTGTCCCACATAGGCGCCTGGGGCCTTCGTCTTTGGGGCGACAAGCTCCGAATCGCGAACCTTTGGATACAGGCAGAAGAAACACACCCCGAGCAGCTCATTACTGTATTTAATGGAGACATCCAAGTGTCACGTTTGAAATTCTGCAACAACCATGAAGCCTCCATTGTGCTATTGCTCCTTTACAAGCCATCGAATGTTATATATGTGATAAAACGTCCAGAGCACAACCTGCTTGTTCTGGGGAATTAAAACTATTGTAGGTCCCTCTTCTGTTTTGCCACAGCCATAGAAAGAGCTGATTGACATATCAACAGCAAGTCACAGCATTGGCAGCGCAGCGTCTCAGCTTCAGCTAAACGTGATGGCCTGCCCTTCTCTACAGAAGGGTTTGCCTAACGAAGTGACCAGTAGGGGTCCCCTACCTATCATGAGTCCAGCTACGGGGGCTCCTGCTGCGCCGCCGATGCCTCCGTGTGCTGTAAGGACGCCAGCAAAATAAACATACACACGAACGCGAACAGTACCTAAAGGCCCTCGTGCGACTGGTCCCAAAACTTGCAGTTTACAACGGCAGCGCCCTCCCGTGCTGCCTCTGCCCAACCTTAGTCTTAACTCTCAAGCCCTTGCATGCATAAGGGTACTACGAAGTCACACTTGACAGTGTATGCGCTTGGGTCGTGAGCAGCAAAGAGAGGGTTGGCGCGATCGGGTGGTGGGGATTGCCTGGATCGTCTGAGACAAGGAGAAACAAGCGTTGCAGAGTTAGGGGCATAACGAGCACTGCACGAAGTAGAGTCAATGAACGGCAGAAATTGAAGCAATGCGGCACGGAAAGGGCCGCAGGTGAAGGCGCGATTTATGTGTACGCAATCTACCCAGACTGGCCGACGTGGGGTGGGCCCACAAATACACAGGCACGAAGAGGCAACTCAAAGCTCCCGTAAAGCACTGCTCAGGAGATGCAAACGGGGATAGAGAAAGGCCATAAAATCCACTTCACATAAACAGACCAAGAGGAAAGCTATTTCGGAAGCAAAAGTATTCACAGTTCATCTGCGAGAACAAAAGAGAGAATGCTTTTACGGTTAGTTTAATGGGTCAGGAGACCGGATGGGGGACGAAAACCAACAAATAACCCCGTGTGTGCGTTCCAGACAAAGAATGCATGCTGAGCAGCAGCAGCAGCAGCAACAGCAGCAGAAGCCAGAGCAGCAGCAGCGACTTAGAGACCGCACACTGTGGGGAAGGCGGCAGCTGGTGCGCCTTGCCTCCCAGCTGCTGCCTCAGACCTCGAGTGCCGTAGCAGCGCTCATGCTTCATCCGGCAAACACCCATGCAGCAGCAACGGCAGTAACAGCAGCATAGATGCAAGACCAAAAAGGAAGTGCAAAAGTCTGAGAGACAAGGATGTTGATGAGCAAGAAGATATTAATTGATTTTCTAGCACAGAATATCTGCCATTCTGGCCCTGGATGGAATCCGCCCAGTTAGAGAAACATTATGGCGCCTATGGCGCCCGATATAAAGTGTACAGGAGGTCCAGGGCAAGCCCTTCTTCCAATTTTTATTTGCAATTATGACAAAACGACAAAGGCAGAAGTGGGTGAGGCACTGGGCAAAGATTGGGGCGTGACCCACGACTCGTTGGAACCTGCACACACAAGGAGCGACATCAAGAAGCAACTGAGCCTCTAACAACGGCAAGAACGAACAAAATAGAGTCACCAGCAACAGCGGAGCTCCAGAAAAGAAGAAAAGCCTCACAAGATGACGAACTCCTTCTGCTATCCCTACGGCTGCGGTGCGACCGCCATGAGCCGCTTCGTCCCGTGCCGCTGCTGAGTTTCTTCGTGCTTCTTCTGATACTGATGCTTCTGCTACTGCTACTGCTGCGTGCTGCCCTGTTGTCTTTGCTGCGGCTCCGACTCCTGCTCCGGCTTATGCTGCCGCGACCTCTGCGCTGGTAAGCGTGGAAGGACGGACTCCGCTTGCGCCGCCTACATTTTGTTCTGTTGTTGCTGCTGTACCAGCTGGAGCTACGGCTACTGTCGCTGTTACATTCCCAGCCATACATGCGTCTCTTCGGGGCGCGTCTGCGCGACTGTGCCGTCTTAATGCTTCTTTCATCCCGGCTGTTGGTGCTGGCACAGCTCCTGCTGCGTCTTTCTGTTCTGTGGCGGACGTGCGTGGCTCCAGAAGCTACGGATCTGGAAGAGGCACCTCTCTGAGAACGAGAAGGTATGATGACGATTTCATCTGAGGCACTACTGAGGGGAGAACCACGGGAGTCCATACTTGCATGATGTTCTCCTGTGGCACTGCCGCTGTTTTTGTCGAAGCTGAAGCTGCACTCATCTGGCCGGTTACAGCTGCACTCTTTACTGCTCAGTTGGAGGCCGCAACTGCTATTTTGTGTTTTTATGGGGCTTCCTTGCCTCCTGCCTGCGCCTGTGTTTGTTGGACTGGTTGTACTGCTCTCGGCCGGAGGAAGGCGCGGCGAGCCGCGGCTAGTGGGGGAAGCGTAAGTCGCCATAAATGCATCGCCCAAAGCTCTAGTCTGTAATGCCGCATATATGTGTCTGTACAGAAAGGTAGAGACTACGGGAAGCCACAACTGCTGCTTGCTGTCCAGCGAGGAACCCAGTACAAGAATACCTATGAATGCAAACAGTGCGGTGAAGGCAGCTTCGTCTTGTAATAACTGTCCCCTCACCCCCAAACAACAATGGGAAATTCTTGAGTCATACTATATTTGCCCCGATGGCCCGAGAGGGACAGGTGAGGGCCTCGGGGCGGCGGTTGCGCTAGCAGGCGCTCCACACATTCCAGACACGAGCTCGATGCCACTTCTTTCTATGAAATATCCAGAGTTATGCTGTAAAGACATCAGGATTTCATCCACACTGTCCGGGGAGCAATCAACGTTGTCCAGAAGACCCGTCAGTGGAGTGGGGCCCCGTTGCTCATCGAATACTCCACCCCGGAGAATAATTTGTCCGAGGACGGCTTAGTGCGGAAACAAAAGCAGCATCGTTCTTTTGTCTCAAAAGTACAGAAGCACATGGCCGCTCTTCGCTCTGGAAATGTAGAGGGGAACCCTGCTAGGCAGTTGACTAGCGAGAGGCGCATCATGCAAATCGCCAAGAAGGGCCTAGAGGGCGGAGAAATACAATCTTTGGCTGTGTAACACTTTTGTCCAATGTTGTGTCTCTGTGGAGCTTGACGTTCGCGAATCCTCTTCCCTTCAGTAAAAGCACATGGAACTCGCGAGGGCCCCCAGCCCTGCCGTCTACGCATTGAAGGCTACGGATAATGGAGGCACCGGAGCCCGCAGGTCGCTCACAGCAAGAGCAAGTGGTGTCGACCTAAAGCTTCACAGCTTGTAACAGAACAGCGTAACTACCGCAGAAGGAATTGCAGCAGCTGCTGGACCGGCAACAACTGGGCAGCAACAAAAACTGCAATTGCATTGGGCAATGTCGCCTGCAGAGGCAAGTAGCATTAAAAGTTTTGCCTTCCTCAGTGTTTCGGAGCACAGTGTGAGGCTGTTGCTGTGCCTGTACTTCCTTGCAGCAGCCGCAGCAGCCGCAGCAGCCTCACGATGGCCTATCCTCTCATCGTTTGCCACCCACGGCAAACTGTGTCAGAAAAAGCAGCAATGCAAAGGCAGCACTCAGCGCGTCTGTCTTTTAAAGTGGCTTCAATCAAAGGACTGCAGTAAACGCCGCTTTCTCGACTTTTATGCCATTGGCAGTTTTGTCACTTGCTGCTGCCTGTTGGGCCTTCTAAAGCAGCAAGAAGTACGCCTGTTGCTGCCGCTTTTACTGTTGATGCTGCACTTATTGCGTCGATTTGGGGAGCAGCTACTGCTGGTAGCATCCGACGGAACCTCTCGTATGCATCTCTTCGCCTACGTCTTTGGCTGCACGTAAGGTTTGGTAGTGCTACTGCTTAAAGCACTATACTTGCTGTTGTCTGTATGAGACATTCCGTTTGTTGATGCTATTTGAATGCGCTGGTTGCAGCGTCGGAGTGGCAGTTGGGCTCCTCCTGAGTATCGCAGACCCCTAGAATAGCAGGTGTCGCTTTTGGCATTGCATCCGTGCAGGTATTATGTTGCGACTCCTATAGCTTTTATGTTAGCGGCGCAACGCCGCCATCAACTTCGACTACTGCAAGACGGGGCATCTGTAGGGCTTTGGGTTACCTCTAGTCTGCTGCAGGCGAGTCTGCAGCTGGCCCTCTTCGTAGCTGCCGTGCAACCAGAGACCTTGTGGGATCTATGAAGGTTCTTTCGAGCTACCAATGGCTCACGCAGAATATTTGAAGCTTATTTTGTTGTTGCTTTCGATGTAGCTTGCGTTCCAGCTGCTGAAGCCTGGCGTACTATGCTTCAGATGGCATCGCATATCTCTCTTGCTACTCTACGGCGACAAGGAGCTCGGGAAGTCAGCCTACGGAACTGCGGAGGCAATGCAGACCAGGAAACTGATGCTGCGGATGGTGTCTCGGTGAGCGTGAAAAGACGCAAGAGCCAAACAAACAGCAGTAGGAACCCTCGCAGAAACACTTTGAAAGGCAGGAGCAGCACCACCAGCTCCGACTGGAGAGGTCCCTACACGATCCCACGAGGACCCCTCTTTGCGTATATCAGCTGCCCCCACTATCTTTCGGAGGTTTTAATCTACTTTTCTCTCCTTCTTTCTGCTCCAGATGGCCCAACGTGAGTCGCTTGAGCTTTGCGACTGCAAGCCTACCGCCCACAGCACTGCAGCTTCAACAAATATACCTTTCGTGCACTAGTGTACCTATTTTCGCTGTTCCTGCCTTAATGGCCTGTAAGCTCCATGACAGTTACGGTCTTTCTATTTACGTAGTTGCAGCTTGTCAAATTCAAGTGCAGGCATGCGGGCTGCTCACCCTTGAAAAATATAGAAAAACGCTCATCTCTTTGTGTTCGCTTGCCGCAGAAAATGTTGTTTTCTATACGTGTTGATTTGCATGATTGTCAACGGTATGGAACACGAGCACAGATTGAGGCAGAGCTGGAGACGAAATAGTCGAAGGCAGAGAAACGTAGAAGCACAACAAAAGCGAGCGGCAAACAGATCGCTAGCTGCTTATGCCTTTCGTCAAATCATGCACACGCGCATAAACCCACATGCATACTCAAATGAACGCATTCGCGCCTAGGTGTTACGGTTGCATACACGCATGCGTGCATGCAAGCGAGCGCTGAAATAGAGCAGTACCACATATACAGGACGAAAGGTGACGCAAGTACTAGAGCATCAATAGAAAGCTCAAGTTTCAAAAGGTGCCTTTCCAGGAACGAGGAGAAGGAGACAAAATTGCTGTTCATATGTGTGCAGCTCAACAAACTCACCGCTGGTACCTGAAAGCATTTGGCTCATCTTACCCCAAGTGAGGCAATCCTTAATTGATCCCGATCTTGCTACTACTGCGATTTGCGGGTTTGCGGCATCCTTGAACAGTAGTTAGCAGTGCGTTAACATGCCACTTCCCTGTTTTTTTTCTTGGGGTCCCAGAGCTTTTTTTGCTTGTACCGGTCATTCGAGGCCACCCGCTATGGCGAATTTTGTTTTGTGTCCGTTAGCCTTTTGCCCCTGCCGCCGCTTTCCACCGCGATATTTTCTGCTACACCCGATCCGTCTTGCCAGGCTTTTCCAAGAATCACCTGAGTCAATGCTCGTGTAAAGGACCGCGAGTGTGTGTGTGCGATTTGTAGGGAGCGCCGCATTCTATTTCCTTTTTTTTTCTAGATTCAATGATTCTCTTCGCCATACCGACTTACTTCCCAGTTCGGGAACTACCTGCCATTCGGGATCTCAGTGCACTGAAGCGTTCACTGCATGTGCTCTTTTTTTGTGAATCCGACGCTCAGTCATCAGCAAAAGGCTGGCGTTTCTCTCCCTTTCAACGAGGACATTCCTAGCTAGCAGCAGCAAACAGCAAAAGCATGTTTGGCGGCATCGCCTGAAACCAGTCTTGCGTTTGGCGAGGAAAAGTGCAATGCACTTAACGACGAAGAAACCTAGGCCCAATTGGTAGCCATTGTAAAACTCACTGTAAGATATATGTACCGTGAGCATACGGGACACGTGAACGCGACTCTTTGGGATCTTCCAGAGCCGCTGGTAGCATACTGAGAACCTGCATGCTAGTTTCTTTTTTTCAGTGCATCATTAGAATCCGAAGCCATTTCTACTAGCGTGCCTGTGCTACCTTCGGCCCCAAGATTTTCTTTCGGTTGCACCTTCCATCGGTGACGTCGTGACGTTCAGCCAGTGTTCGGCCGAAGCACCGAGCCTGCATACACGAAGGCAACTTTCTGTATTCCTTGAACAGTACAGCTAATCCACAGTCGCATTATGCGAATGCCTAATGTGCAACGGTCTAAGGACCGTACCGTGGCATGGGATCTGCATGGGATCTGTACGAGAGCAGAGCCGCGAGCCGTGGAGGAGCGGCACTAGTACGCTTCTAGTTTAAGGGGAGGGGAACTTTGGCAGAAAGAACGGGCCAGCTAAAAAGAACGAATCAGAAGACTTAGGGAAGTGTGCAAGAGGCGTGGTAGGATGCGTTCACACACTATCGGCTGCCCGGCGACCAGCAGACGTTACGCGGACTTGAGCAGTAGCAGAGAGCTGCCACTGCCTGCTCGGGCTAAAAATGAATCTAGCCCTTTAGGCAAGCAAGCCTATGAGTTGCAGAATGCAAGTGCACTGGGCATCACAGCTGGGAAAAGGCCGATGCGCGCACTTGCGAAAGGGCCTAACACTGTTGAACCTTCTTCGTGAAGAAAGCAGCTACACATACTGCATAACAAGGAAATGCCCATCAGTCGTGGATGCAGAGAAGCCCACTTAGACAACAGCAAAATTTTGAAGCCAGGAACTGGCAAGAATCTAGAAGCAAGTATGGGCACTGAACTACAGGGCGAGGTTGAACTGCGGGGAAACGGCCCAAAATCCTAGATAATGTTCTGCGCTGGTGGAGCTGTGCTATGTGATGTACCTGCCAGAACTCTGAGGCTTGCTCTATGGAGTCTGTACGACAACGCTTATCTGATGTGAAGGCGTTGACCAAATCTGCAGATCCTTTTTCGATGCCGTGGGCACGACGAAACTTCATTAGCCCTCTGTGTTCAGTGCGGCCACGGCACAGGGAACAGGAACTCCCTGAAGATCGTGTGCACTTTAGTTTGCGAAGAGAGCTTACACAGCCGTGAAACTTCATAAGCCCTGTGTATTTAGAGTGGCGACGACCCAAGAACTGGCAATTTCCTGAGAAACGCGTGTGCACCGTAGCTCTGAGGAGAGAGCCTAGCCATTGATTGCATAGTAACAATACCAAGGGTGTGGTGCAGCCGTGAATATTTTCGGTTGCCTTCCTTTGTAGTTCTTATTCCCTTACTTGTGGACCTTCACCGGATTACACGACATAAGGCAGGCTGGTATCTTCAATCTGATCAGCGGAGAGACTCCTTGGATGGTAATCTCCCGTAGAGAGCACTAACTAAACAGTACAAGGAGTTTTCTGCCCGGATGCAGCGCGGAATCACATCCAAAACAGCCGTAGAACCTGCTGGGAGCAAGAATCGAGCATTATGACTATGGAGGCTGCGATATTCGTAAGTTTGCTCAAAATGTGATGTAACTCGCGGCCGAGTGCATGGTAGAAGCCGCAGATTGGGAAACCTTTCGGAAAACATCTGCCTTGTGGATCCTGGCTGTGACGCGCTAGAAGGGCTGCACATCATGCTGGCTGCACATGACTCCTGTCAAATTTCTGAAGTGCGATGGGACACACAACTAAGGACCAACTACTCGAAAGGCGGCATGGAGTCAACGTGGCCCCACTCCCTACTCCAGTGTACTCCAATAAGTGCCTCGGCAGAGTGGAGGCTCAGAACTTCCCGGCTGAGTTTCTCGAAGCACAGTGTAAACATCGGGCCATCTTATCCACTCGAAATAACCGCCACACTATAGCAAGAGTTTCCACGTATCCTCAGAGACCCAAATGGAGTACGTTGACATACCCACTGCTCTCTGTGCACCTCGCCCACGGTTGAGAAACACAACGAAGGATCTGGCGAGCCGCGCATGGTAGTTGACTATCACGCATTTAACACCCCTGTGGTCAAACCTATCTTGCTCGTGTCTCCTACTGAAGCTATCCTGGAAACGTTGAGTAATGGTAAGCATTTGTTCCAGCCGAACTGAGAAGCTAGCATTCCCAAGGAGAACCAGCCAAAAACTGCTTTCCGCTCCCTCATCAGGCCACTTCAGCATGCTATAACGCCTCCCACCCCAGATGCCCGTTGAGTCACCATTAATACATAGCTTTCATCCGTAGTAGTAGTTAGTAGTAGTTTCGGATCATGTTGTCACTACATAGTTGGACGACACACTAACACGCATTTCCGGCGTGGCCAGGCACTTGTCTCACGGCATCAAGCCCTGTGCATGCTCGAACATCATTTTCAGCCCGGTTCCAGTCGTGCATGATTGTGTGCTTCTCCCCATCATGGGTACTCGTAATTTAGACCATGGCGACACCTACTCGGACGAGATAGTCTGGAGATGAATCTCGAAAGTTTCCGCTCTGGACACTGCCATAGTGTCTACTCCTTCCTCATGACCCTCAACTATCGACTCAACATTAAAATGCTAGAAGGCAGGTTTTCATTTCCCGGCACTTTGCAGAGGTGCAGAAACGGGACCAGCAAACACGCAGTGTAAATGCTGGCCGTCACAAGCGTTGTTGATCAGGCATAGCTCGAGCTATATTGCTGGGGGCCCCGCAGTAGAGCGTTAAATTGAGCGACCCAGCAGTACAAAGGATAAAATATAAGTAAAGTTGCGGAATTACGAATGAATTCACTCATTGATGACGGGTCTCATGTGCTACGCGTTGGTCTGCGTCTGCCGCCCAGTAGGTGGAAACCTACAACTTCAGGAGAGGGCTCTGGGTGTGATATTGGCTCGAACATTATAAGTGGTTTCTGCTCAACTCTTTAATTTAAGAAGCGTGCTCCCTGTGATTTAATACTCAGCTTGTTTTATAATTTCCGCAGTTGCATTAAATCTGCTCGTACCTTCAGCCCGCATGCACAGTTAAGAACTGCCGCAGCGGCAGCAGCCACAGGCTGCAAGAGGCCACACGTGCTTCTGTGCTCCCATCGGCTGCTCCGTTTCCAGCCCTGCGAGTTTTTGGGCTCCCTTTGTATGGATTATTGAGAGTTTTGAACGTTGGAAGAGAGCCTTGCAGCGAAAATGGCAGTAAGCATCTCCACGCCGACACCACGTGCGCTTGAGGATGCCTGTGGGGTGTGCCTCATGGCGCGTGGGCGTCAGGCCTTTTTGGGTTGCAGCTAAAATTATCATGAGAAAACTAGCTAAACGCTTTGTAATCGCTCATTTTGGCTCTCCACTGCATTCCCCTGGAGCAGATGGTGCATGCGACGGAAAGGGCAGCATGTGGGGGGTGGGGGTCTTGGTTCCCGTGTTTTAACATTCTTCGGAAGCTGTCGTATCCTTTTCATAACCTCTTGAAACTGTTTTCTACACATCATGACCTCTTGAAACTGTTTTCTACACTCTTGTGCTTCCCGCGGGGCTTGTGCAGCTCCACTGTGCTGTTCCGTGCTAAAGTGTCAAGTGCTTTGCTTCATTACTGCTTACAATTATTTTTAAGTGTGCGTTGTGGGGTATGGGTGCTGTGCGGTTTTCACTGACAATCATTGAGGTGTTCCTGCACTCTGTGGTCCACATTCTTCAGTGATTCCCGATGTGTGCATTTTTTGGTGCGGCTGTTGACTTAGGATCGCTTCTCGGCACGCCTGCTGAAGCCCTTCGAGGGCGTCCCTCTTACAGAGGGTGCAGAGAAAAAGCTGAAGCGCAATGCGGCTCTCGCGGAGGCTAGGAAGAAGTCGCTGAAGGCGGTTCGCGAGGTTAGTCTGCAGCACGGTATTGAATTGATCGCTTGTAGTGTCCGTGTGTCGAGGAAATTAGTTTGATTAACTAGTTTTGGTGGCGGATGCTTGGATTTTGTTTTCAGAAGAGGGCTGCCAATCGACATGCGCTCAAGCTTCGCACGTACAAATACATGAAGGAGTACAGGCAACAACGCGAGGAGCTTATCAAGAACAAGCGGGAGGCCCGTGCTCAGGGTAAGGACACCCGCGCAATTTGATTATATATGCTGTGAAAATCTGCAGTATTGATTCCTTGCTCTGTGACCCAAGGATGAGATACCGGAAACCGACAAGGCTTCATGGCCAACTGCGGAATATCTCATGTTTCAATCGCTTACTGATGGAGCCACACTCATGACTTGAGTATTCTAATGCATATCGTGCTGGCTACATCATTGCCTGATTGGTTGTCAAAAATCAGTGAGAGCTAAGCGGCGAATGATGACCAAGATCTGCTGATGGGGCCTTCGGGTTGCCTGAGGAATAGATTATTCCTAATGTTTCAATCGCTTACTGAACAAATCACGCCGCCATGTTTTACGTGACAGTTTGATACATTGGGGTGTGGTATGTTGCATTTCCTGTCGTTGCCGTTCGAGACCCACCATGCGGCGCTGTGTGCTTCGCGGTGATGTGCTGTTATATCAGGTGGGTTCTACAGGGTGGCCGAGCCGAAGGTCGTTTTTTGCATCCGTATTAAAGGTATCAATAAGCTCGCGCCTAAACCTAGAATGATCCTCCAGCTCTTCCGCCTTCGTCAGCTGCACAATGGTGTCTTCATTCGCGTCAACAAAGCAACGATGCAAATGCTCCAGGCAGTCCAGCCCTTCGTCACGTATGGCTACCCCAGTCTGTCGACGATCCGCAAGCTAATCTACAAGCGTGGCTACGGTGAGAAATATGCGCCCGATGCGTCGGCAGTATGCGGGTTCGTTTGCGTCCTGCGTGGAAGTCACTCGTTATTTTATCAAAACCAATTTTGCTGTGCATAGTTTTGTGGTGCTCTCATTTGCCTCGGCGCTTTTGCTTCAGCCAAGGTTGGTGAGCCCGGCTCGAAGCAGCGCATCCGCTTGCAAAACAACGACATAATTGACAAGCACCTGGGCAAGTATGGGATCCACGGCATTGAGGATCTCGTGCATGAAATTTACACTTGCGGCCCCGCATTCAAGCAGGCCAACGCGTTTCTGTGGACATTTAAACTTTCTTCTCCTAGGAAAGGTTTCAAGTGCAAGCGCCACGGTTTCTGCGAACCCCGACCAGGTCAGTGCAGTTGCTCATGGATAGAGGATAGAGGCAGCATAGCGCATCCCAGGTATCAATAGCGTTTGTTTCATCTGTTTCCCTACCTGCTTTTTTCAGGTGACTGGGGTAACCGCCATGAGCTGATAAACGAACTCGTCAGGCGGATGTGCTGAAATGATGTCATGAGGGATTTCGTTGCAGTTGATGCCTTTCTAGGAGTCTCGCTAGATGTAGGGTGACTTGGGTTTGAAAGAAATACCGATAACAGATGCTACTGCGGGGCTTTCATCAGAGCATTGACGCTTGCAGTGTTTTTGCTGGTGTGTCCCACACGCAAAAACTGCGGCAGAACCCTCGAACTGACTCTTCACTTAAGCCGTGCTCTCTGCGACTTACGCGGAGCCTAGTTCTTACGAAGTATCTGAGTCGTTTTATTGCAGTTGCTGACCAAATGCGCAACTGTCTGACGCCAAACAGCCGACGGTTCCTGGTGTTCACCCCAGCCGACAGGCCACAAGCAGATTAGTCGCAGAAGCGATAATTAGTTGCACAACGCGAGCTAAACAGTGGTGACAAGTCAGCATCAGCTAGCAATCTATTTGCGGCTACAGTTACACCGTGCCTGGTTACGCGTAGGGCACTAGGCCTATATATCGGGACTGGTGATGAAGTCTTTGCCAGGGGCTACGTCCTGCAACGTATGCCGCTGTCCGGCGGGTACGAGCCAATACTAAATTGAAGAACTTATGAAGGAGTTGGAATCAAATGAACCGCGGCTGCCATCTTTCAACGACCAGAAGGGGAAACCATGGAGGCACGCCAGCTGATGTGTGGAGCAGTCAGCAGCCCTTCTGCCTGCCCACGCTTTCGCACGCCTTTGCAAACCGTACAGCTAGCTCTCTCCAACCTAGCTACACTAGCTGCGTGCTCCATTGTGAGCCTACGCCGACGGCACTTCAACTTCCCCAGAGTCGATCTCTGCCTGGACAGCAGTAGGTGCCTTGCCATCAACGGTGCAGCCAATAGAAGCGCTGCGAGCAAACATGTACAACGCATGAAAACGACAGACATGGCATGAGCAGTCCCAGACGCAAGATTGTAGCCCTGCAAAAAAGAAACCTAGACTCGACTGCTCACCAGGTGCCCAAGATCTCCTTAACCGTGCCCGCAAACTCGTGAGCAAGCGACTTGGAGCGCATTGTGCGTGCGATCTGGAAGACCTGCTGCAGTGTGAGGTTGCCGTTATGTTTAATGTTCTTGACTTTCTTCCTGTCCCTTGGGGGCTCCTTAAGCTCCTTAATAATCAGAGACGAAGCCGAAGGCATCACCTCCACCGTAGCTTGACGATTCTGCACCTTCAGGCAAACCGTAACTTTCAGCCCCTTCCAGGCCATAGTCGCCTTTGCAATATCGTCACCGACCTTCTTGGGTGACATACCTGTGTGCGGATGCACACCACAAACCTACCGCGAGAATCGGCCACACTGCAAGGGCGATCTGCATCCCCGCCTGGTGTGGCATATGCCAATACGCAGGAGAACGTCTTTTTTTGCTCACCCAGCGGCCCCAGTTTTGGGGCAAGGACCGAAGAGGCGCCAACCTCACCGCCAGTTTGGCGGAGGTAAACTGCGGAGACAACAAACGCAGAAATATTCCGGGGTATGTGTATCAAATGCCAGACCAAATGATTTTTACTCTATACAAAGAAGCTGCAGCAATCCGAAGCTCTGTTAAGCGCTTTAGAGGGGAATTGCCGCCACGCAACTCGGCGACCTCCTAAGCATGCAAAGCGGCGAAGGCGAGATAGTTGCTGACGTTCCCCCAGGCAGTGCCACCAAATTATGAAGATCGCACTGTTAAAGTGTGGCAAGTCGCTTCTCATGCGAGGAATCGCTCAGTGAAGGGGAAGGAAGCTAGGGAGGGGCAGATTATCGGAATGGGGTGGCAGTGGGGTGCCTCACTGTACTTGATCTCATTAGGGTCGAATTTCTTGGCCATCTTCAAGAAGTTGCTCTCCAAGAGGCGAATTCCACGAAAATAGCCACAAAATAGGAGCCCCACAGAACCAAAAGTACAAACAATGTGGCAAACGCCCGCCTAGATACCACAAGCCCGAGAGGCTGCTACTGGGCTGCAGGCTGCTGCCAGTCGTGCTGGGCTTGGGGCTTTCTGGGGAAGTTGATTGTTGTGCAAGTAGAACTGGGAGAGTAAGTGTAGCCTACAGAGTGACTGCTCACAATTCCTGGAAGGAAAGCCGAATGGCGATGCAATTCAAGTCTTCTTTAGCCTCAACGATGGCTCGCGCAGAGCCAGGTGTCTGGGCTGCCTACCGTTTGCAGCATTGCATGTGTATAGTATTTCCGCTCCTGTCAGTAACCCATTTTCCCCGTGTAAAGTGGATTTTTTTTGCAAAGGAAATATTGGCGGCACATAAAGTATCGATGATGAGGTTGTTTGGTTGTTGATGCGGGCGCTGGTGCTTGCTTACCCGGTTCTGGCCTGTATGAATATTTTACATAGATTCCCTAAAGGCTTTAGCAGTGTCTTACTCGATAGATGCACGGGACCTGACATTACGAGATGCGGTGCAGATAGTGCAGGCAAGGGTCAGGAAAAGCTAGGTTTCAACTGTTGGTGCCCCGGGAGGGGACAGCTGAGTGGAAAGTGAGGAAGCAAATTAGTTTATCTCAGAGACCACTCCCCAAAGCACCGGTACTAGCAGTCTATATTCTTCTAGATGCCGGAGGCACTCGTTCGACAGAGGTTAAGCGCAGCAGGCAGACGGAGCCCAGATCGACGAGCATTCTCGTTGCGACCCCTTTCGCAGCACCTGCCTACAAAGCATGCTTTAATCGCCCAATGTTTGGTGCTGTCTTCGGTGCGTGGAACGTCACCTGCGCAACATTGCCTAACCAAACAGATCGATACGAGTTCTTTCAAGAGTCTTTGCACTAGTGAACTGTTGACGGCATAAGGCGTAATTCTACCTGCAAAGGTTGTGACCCCATTCATCCCGCTAAGCAGGAATGCCGTCAACAGTTCACAACCTTTCCAGGTAGAATTACGCCTTTACAACTTACGTAGAGTACTTCCAAAGCATGCTACACCAGCAGCAGCCCACAGGGTCCTGCTAATTGCAGGCAACACCTCATTACATTTTGGGGTTTGGGACCGGATATGCAACAGAAATTTACTAGCACTGGGTTCGCTGCTCGGGGCGTCGCAAGCCCAAGCCTTAAGCTCGACAAAAAGCCGCTAAAATTTTCCGGTAGAAAAGGCTTAGAGAGGGCAAGCTCACCAAATTCACTGGTCAGGTTTCGCCTTTTGAAGAATGCTTTTGTCTCTGGAGGCGAGGCTTGATTTCGTCCATAGTCTCTGCCGCTTTATGAGGTCAATATTGCGTGCATCAACTTTCACGTTCAGTCTCGGAGGTGTATGCACTTGCGTGACACGCCTTTAAAAGTGGCAGTTTCGCTGTGGACGCGTGCCGCTGCAAGTAACAGCAAATTTGAGTTATATGCTGTTGTGGGGAGCAATATTTTCTCGTTGAAAGGGATGTTGCCATGCGAGGTAGTACAATGACACCACTTGACTGTCAGCGAGTACGAGGATGGTAATGATCCTTCATTGCTGTAGACTCGATATTCGTACATTGGCTTTCCGTACGAGACACGTGAGCTATTGTATGCAACATGTAGGTTGGTCATTGTCTCCTTAGTAGGGAGTGAGTATCCAGCCGCTTAAAACGCCCTTGCCATTTGTTCAGTCACCTGTTCATTCCACGTCTCAAGCCTACGCGCTAGGTAGAAGGCATACATGCCGCAACATGACGAGGGCACACCAGGGTTTCAGAGAGCCCTTATAATCTAGGGGAGGTAGTGTGTAGACCGAGATAACCTATTTCTGCCAGAATACCACCATTCGAGCGCATATGCCGGTACATTTTGCCTGCCCTCGGTGATATGTGAAGGTTGCAGGAATTTCATATCAAGTCTTGGAACCTGCAGGCCAGGAGATACCATAAATATCTTTCTATGTGTTTATAAATTATAGCGCGCCCTTGCTTTGATTTTCACGAGTAATGGTGGTCCATAAAAACCCAGTGGCTCTTTGCCCTTGTCCGACGCATGTCCTTTCATTCCCTCGAGAAGCCGAAACTTTGGATGGAACTTACTGGACATTTGTAATTAAAGGAGAAGTTACTGATATAATAAATATTTATATATTAGTTTTTGGAGGAGAAGTGCCATTTGTGTTGCGTTTAAGGTATGTGTTCTACTCAGCGCCATCACTGGCTAATACAGACCGTAGCAGTCGGTTTGAGCGACGGAAAGAGGTGTCCATCTTTGTTTGCTCTCTCCCCCTTGTTATCGCTCATGAAAAGCTATGAGTCTTAACACTATTCTCCTGCCTTCCCTCTGGGCCAAACTGCTGCGACTGTCGACCGCTGCGGGAACATACACGTTCACTGGCCCGCCTTCCGGGATACGAACTTCGTTTAGACCTGCTCCTCTTTCCTTTTCCTAGAGGGCACCTGCATGCAACATTGCACCACGTTGCCCCCTTTTAGTGATGCTTTGAGTCTCATGTTATTCGGTGTGCACACACATAGCAACACCGCAGACACCGGCTTGTTCGGCCTCCCTCTCATCGCACATTTCCAGCCTTCTCACTGCCACTCGCGCCCAGCAGTGCTACTTGTTGAGTTTCTTGCTACTGGTATATACTGCAAACACCTTCTAGCCTCTCCGAAGAGCATTCTAGGGTGGGGGGTGGGGGGCGAAGCGGGTGTGCAACCAGGCTTGGCCCTTCCTTACGTGGATCACGACATATAGGCCTACCGTGAACTTGCATATCGTGGCACGATGTTGGAGTCAGTTGTTGAGCGGCTGCTAAGCCGCTACCTGGCTCCTTACGTGCAGGGTATCAGCAAGGAAAAATTGTCTGTGGCCGTGTGGAGCGGCAACGTTGAGCTAACAGAATTGTATGTAAAACCGGAGGTCTCTGACCTACTAGGCATTCCTTTCAAGTTTGCCTGGGGTCGCATAGGGAAAATTACCCTCAAGATTCCTTGGGCTAGCTTGGGCTCATCTCCCGTATGTGTGGACATACAAGATGTGTATTTAATGCTCGAGCCAAAACCCATTCCCCGGCAGGCGGACGCGGAACTGCAGCAGCAACTCAGACTTACCAAAATGCAGCAAGTAGAAGCTTGTGAGGGTCAACTCCAGGAAGTTCGGCAGCAGTTGCAGCAGCAACTGCAGCAGCAGCAGCAGCAGCAGCCGGGGAAAGACGCCGAGGGAGGTTTCTTCTTTCGCCTCGCTAATAAGGTACTCAGTACGTTGCAGGTCAGTATCAAAGGTATTCACCTTGCTCTTGTAGATCACGGGAGGGGATTCAAAGCGGGAATACTGCTGGAACGCATGTCTCTGCACAACACTGATGAAACATGGACACGCCAAGACCAGCAACAACAGCAACAGCAGAACTTTTACAAGGCTTGCGAGCTGACAGGCCTAGCCGCATATTGTGCGCTGGACAAGAGGAAAGTAGCAGCAGTAGCAGCAGCAAGGGACACCTCGGCAACCGAGCTCGAGGAAGAGTCGGAAGTGGATGCAGAGTTACACCTCGGGAGCCCTCAGACCTTTTCTAAGGGGGCTCAAGTAGGAGCGTCTCCTGGGTCTGCTTCAGAAGAAGGAAAAGGCAGAAGCAGCTCTCCAGAGGAGGCTTACGCTGTCAGCACAGAGTTGCATGACGAAGAGCTCCAAGGGCGGTCAACGGAGGCCCCAGCAACACAGGTATGCCAAACAGGGATGGGAACATGCAGTCGGGGTTGTGAATAGCTCGCTGTCTATCCATCTGTTGTTCTGCGCAGCTCTTCGTTCTAGCTGCTAAGTAGCGGTGTGCTTGTTGTTTGTGGCTGTCTGGGGTCGTTGCATGCGGTTCGCTACAGACAGAAAAGAAGGCAACGGAAACTGGGAGCTCCGCAAGAACTTCTTCCTTCTCTTTTGAAAGCCCTGTTGCCTCTGGAGCGCCTTCGAGAGAACAGTCGCGGCAGTGGCATCGTCAGTCACCTGTGTCCTCAGGTGGGACAGGAACATCAGGTGCAAGGGCAGCGGCGGCTGCATCGGGAAGAGCAACGGGAACCGAGGGCAGCAAGACAGGACGCTGCAGGTATATCCTGAAGCCACTCCATGTGCGCTTGACAATAGCTCATGCAGCAGCAAAGCACGAGTTCTCTGCTCGGCTGGAGGTCTTGAAGGAAAGCCATGGAGTGGCCATAGGGAAGGCTCAGTTAGCAGCTTTGCTGCAGCTACTGCATGAGGCTGGAGTACGGCGAAAACGCTGCGAGAGGCTGCTGCTGCGGGAGGCCCACACAGTGTGCCTTGCTCCTGAGGACTTGGAGGGGAATGGGAAGACTCAGCGGGAGTTTACTGCGCTGTATGGACGCCAGCTTCAGGTGGAGGCAGGGGTCAAGGGAGTACAGCCATTGACAGAGAAAGAGCAGAGGCGCTTGCAGGTGCTTTATGACGTTGTGGGGGTTCGCCATGTAAGTCTTGCAGGGCTTCTGAACTGTAGCGGCTTGCAATACGTGTCTGCACCCAAAGAGGGTTAGGTAAACGATGGGGTCCCTCAGTGACGCAGCAGAGAGCGAACCGTAGAGGAGGGGATGTTGAATGACTAGAGTTTACCAGAAGATAGAGGGACACATTAGAGGCCAGTAACACGTGCAACTTCGACCTTGACGTTTAGAACTTAGCTCTGGTACTTTTTGAGCATGCAGCTAGCGAAGTGGCGGAGCATTTGCAGGGAAGCAACAAACCGAGTCCTAGAAGAGACACAAAAGGTGCACGAACTGAGACACCCCAAACCCCCTCCAAGGAGATGGTGGCAGTGGACCGCAGGGCGGGTCCAGCCGCAGCAGCAAGATGAACAGCAAGAGGGAGACGAACAACCGCTCATTACTCAGGAGGACATACAACTGATCATGGACTCTG